TCTATTCTGACTCTAATTTCTTATAGTGAGGCTGGGCGTGGTGGCCCATTCTGTAATCCTAGCACTTTGGGAGGTAAAGGTTGGGGGATCACTTGAGGTCAGGAATTTGAGACCTGCCTAGACAGCACGGTGAAGCAGGTTAGATGGCCAGCATCTGCTTTTTTTTTTAGAAAAAAAAATTAGCTAGTTGTGGTGGCAGGTGCCTGTAATCCCAGCTTCTTGGAAGGCTGAGGCAAGAGAATCGCTTCAGCCCAGGAGGCAGAGGTTGCAATGAGCCGAGATTGCACCACTGCACTCCAGCCTGAGCAACAGAGCCAGACTGTGGAGAGAGAGAGAGAGAGAGAGAGAGAGAGAGAGAGAGAGAGAGAGAGAGAGAGAGAAAGGAAACGAAAAGAAAAGAAAAGAAAGAGGGGAATGGGGAAGGAAGAAGGGGGAAGAGGGGAAGGGGAAAGTCGGGAAAGGGGGGAAGGGAGGAAGGGGGGAACGGGAGGAAGGGGAAAGCGGAAAAGGGGGAAGGGGGAAGGGAGGAAGGGAGAAGGGGGGAAGGGGGAAGGGAGTTAGGGAGAAGGGGGAAGGGAGTTAGGGAGAAGGGGGGAATGGGGGAAGGGAGGAAGGGAGGAAAGGAGGGAGAAAGAGAAAGAGAAAAGAGAGAGGAGGATGGGAGGGAGGGAGGGAAGGAACAGTGATGGGGTTCCAGGTTTGGAACTCTGGGTGGCAGTCAGACATTGTCTGCATTTTGGGGGGTTGTAAAGATGAGGTCCCTGCCTGGAGCAGCTCTTGCCCAGGCCTGGTAGCAGAGAGGCAGAGTGCCCAAGCAAGGAACGCGGATCTGCAGTCAGGTTCAGACCACAGCTTCTCCCAGGACTCAGGTGAATGGGACAGGCCCTGAGTTTCAGTCTTTCCCTTCTGTGAGGTGGGGATAGGAGGGGAGAGCAGACAGGCTGTGAGGATTAAATAAAATGGCACAGAGAAGGTGTCTCGAATGCTGCTGGGGTCTGATGGAGGGTCACTAGTATTGCCCAGCCTCTGAGAGGGGCAGCCAGGTGGTTCCTGAGAGTGAGGAAAACAAGCAGAAGAGCCTGGAAGGAACTTTCAACCCAGAAAAGAAGCTGTGGCCTTCGGGTCTTCATATCGTCTGTGACTATGAAGAATGAGTGTATGATGAAGCAAGACCACGGGCACTGCGGCGGTGCCCCCATCGGCATGGCACCCGCGTGGCTCTGTGCACATGTGTTGGTATAGTGTCTGTGGTTCCTACGGAAGTGTGAGCATCTTGAGATTGTGAGCTGTGCCTGTCATGTTCCCATGATCTGGCCAGCACCTGGCACACAGCAGGTGCCCAAAATTCACATTGATAGTTCCTGGAAAAGGCATGCTGAGGAGGCCAAAATAATCGTCATGGAAATGAGGTCGGGTGCGGTGGCTCACGCCTGTAATCCCAGCACTTTGGGAGGCTGAAGTGGGCAGATTACCCGAAGTCAGGAGTTCGAGACCAGCCTGGCTAACATGGTGAAACCCCATCTCTACTAAAAATACAAAAATTAGCCAGCCATGGTGGTGGCACCCGTAATCCGAGCTACTCAGAAGGCTGAGGCAGGAGAATTGCTTGAACCCAGGAGGCGGAGTTTGCAGTGAGCTGAGATTGCACCATTGCACTCCAGGCTGGGTAACACAGTGAGACTCCATCTCGGGGGAAAAAAAAAAAGTCATGGAAATGAGAAAGCTGGAGGACTGAAATTACTAGACCCCCCTGAAGTGGGACTCAGACTTTAAATTAATAGCGGGCTTCCCTCACCAACCCTGATAGAGGCCAGCATCTGCTTTGCTTCTCTCTCAGCCCTGGGGGTCTCCACTCAGGGCCTGGAGGTGGGGTCCAGACACTGCAGAATGCTTTGTACCCTTCTGAATCAAGGAAGGGAGCTGAGAGGAAACCAAGGTTTGGGGAGCAAACCACTGCCTGCACTGGTGTTCTTCGGGGTTGTCCAGCCCTGAGATGGGTGCAGGGGAGGCATTTACTTTCCTTGGGGCAAATGCCTCTTATCCATCAAGGCACAGATCTGAAGCAGGTGGCGCAGAACACTTGCTCACTACATCACCGCAGCTGTAATTACTGTTTATGTCAAGTGTATCTCCTGGGATCTCTGGGGCCCTCTGCAACCTGGGGAAAGTTTGAGCTGAAGGCCCCTGGGGTCTGGGAGCTGTCTTGCTCTGCAGGGTTTCTCACAGTGCCCTAGGGTGTTCCTGTGAAAAGCAAAACCTAAAACAGCCATCAGGAGAGCAGGAGGGGATTAAAAGTTAGGATGCGGTCAGCTCTATTCTGCCTGCCTCTCGGAAGGGTGCCATAGGGGTTAATTAATACAGATTAACAAACGCCCTTGCCTGCTCATCGGATGCCCCTGCAGGTGATGGCCTGCCAGGCTGATGTCTTTCCTGGGGACTCCACTAGTGGTTGGAGAGTGTGTGGAGATGATCACAGAGATGCAGAAGGGCCTGGAGGAGATTCCCAGCCAAGGGGCTGGGGCTTATAGGAGGGTATCTCTGAGGACTCAGGAACATTCTACGGGGAACCAAAGATACCCAGGAGTCTCTCTCTTCACACACTGCATTTTGGGAGATGGTGAACTTCTGGAGAGTAGGAGCCTTAAACCCAAGGCAGACAAGCCACGAACCTATCTTTTCGCTTTGTGTTTGTAGCTCCCAGCTTCTGGTCTATGGGAGAGCGAGTTACTTGTCTCTGGCCATAGTCAAGGGCAGCCCCTCAGGAGGAGTTAGTTTGTTTTTAAAAAATATTTATTTATTTATGAGGCAGAGTCTCACTCTGTCGCCCAGGCTGGAGTACAGTGTCATGATCTCAGCTCACTGCAACCTCTGCCTCTTGGGTTCAAGTGATTCTCCTGCCTCAGCCTCCCAAGTAGCTGAGACTATAGGCCCCTGCCACCATGCCCAGCTAATTTTTGTATTTTTAGTAGAGATGGGATTTCACCATGTTGGCCAGGCTGGTCTCGAACTCCTGACCTCAAGGAAGCCATCTGTTTCAGCCTCTCAAAGTGCTGGGATTACAGGTATGAGCCACAGGTACCCAGCCAGGAGGGGTTAATTTGTATTAATCATTAATGAGACCATGGACACTGGAAGCCTCTCCCCATCATAAGGTTGCACAGACACATTTCATGGCATTGGTGTTTGGCCATGGATTGCCAGATTCGAGTGGGCTCTGTGGGTGCGTTAAGGGAGAGACCCTCCCTGCTACCCATGAGTTATCTTTCCATGGTCGGAACTGTCCTATGGCCTCTCTATCCTTTGCTTATTTTCAAGATCTTTCCCTCTTTCCTTTCACCTGCTCCAGGCATAAGCATGGGCCTCCTCTCTACTTCCACAGAGGAGGCTCAGGGAGTGAGGCAGGCTGTCGAGAACAACATGACCCAGGCCACCCTCAGACCCAGTCCTGGCTGAACTATGATCCACAGCTGGGTTTCCCTGAACACATACCTTAATTAATCTCCCAGAGCTCGGCTGCTTTTCTTTTTCTTTTCTGAGATGGAGTCTCACTCTGTCACCAGGCTGGAGTGCAGTGGTGCGATCTTGGCTCACTGCAACCTCTGCCTCCCAGGTTCAAGCAATTCTCCTCCCTCAGCCTCCCGAATATCTGGGACTACAGGCGAGCATCACCATACCCAGCTAATTGTATTTTTAGTGGAGATAGGATTTCACCATGTAGGCCAGGATGGTCTCGATCTCCTGACATTGTGATCCGCCCACCTCAGTGTCCCAAAGTGCTGGAATTACAGGCGTGAGCTTGGCTGCCTTTCTTGTCCATATTGAGAGAGGGACAGCTCTCCCCCCTTCATCCTGGGAGCTGGGATGTGGGAGGGGCACACCCTTGCTGGCCTTCTCCCCCACCAGCATGGTCTGGGCAGAGGTGCTTGGTTTACGGGAGATGTTCTGTTATCCCACACAGTGATCTTGCCATACTGGTAATTCACCTGGACTTTATGTGTGGGCTGGGGATGCTCAGGGTTGGGGTTGGAATGCTCCCTCAAGCTTTCTAATGGAGGGATGCCTCTTGGGGGACAGGCGGGCTGGGTCTAAAAAGGGAAATGAGAGAGGGGGTTCTGGGAGCCACCTTCCAGACTCGTCTTCTGAAACCAAGCCTGGACCAGCTGCAAAACCCAGAGGGCAGCCAATCTGTTACCTTTGCCACAAGATTCCTTCTTGACTTGGCCAAATGGCCTATTGCTTCTGGACCTGATCTAAGTGAGGGTAGGGTTCCCAGGGAAGCTCCAGGCGAGTTCACCGTATTTGGAGTGTCTGGGCCAAAGCTGGACTGCCAGGCCTGTTCAGTGGTGGCCATTGTGTATTACTGTTTCTGCAGGAAGGTTGGCCAAACATTTTGGCTGAATAGTTTCCATCTTGTGTCACCCTCAAACCAGAAATTTGCAAAGCACTAGCGTGCCTAATCTGAAGGTTTTTTTTTTTTTTCCTTGAGATAGGGTCTTGCTCTACCACCCAGGCTGGAATGTCGTGGTGCCATCATAGCTCACCGCGGCCTCAAACTCCTGGGTTCAAGCAATCCTCCCTCCTCAGCCTCCTGAGTAGCTGGAACAACAGGCACACACCATCACGTCCGGCTGTTTTGTTTTTTTAACAGATGTGGTCTCACTGTATTGCCCAGGCTGGTCTCAAACTCCTGCCTTCAAGCGATGATCCTCCCACCTCAGCCTCCCAAAGTGCTGGGATTGACAGTCGTGAGCCACCACACCTGGGTCGCTGAAGTTTATTGCTCAAAATAAAGTTTCTTTGAAGCCTCAGAAGGTTCTGGAGGTGGTGGCAGAAACTTGCTCCCGGCTGTGCTGAGTGGAGACCAGCTGATCTCGGGCCATCGTTTTATCTCACCAAAACCTTAGCATAGAGCCCTTCCCAGCCACCCTCCCTGAGGGGTGGGCCCGCCCACCACGCCCACCGCATCTCGCAGGGGCTGACTTCCCGCTTTGTGTCCACAGGCTGCTGAATAGGATGTCCTCGGATGACAGGCACCTGGGCTCCAGCTGCGGCTCCTTCATCAAGACCGAGCCATCCAGCCCGTCCTCCGGCATCGACGCCCTCAGCCACCACAGCCCCAGTGGCTCGTCCGACGCCAGCGGCGGCTTTGGCCTGGCCCTGGGCACCCACGCCAACGGTCTGGACTCGCCACCCATGTTTGCAGGCGCCGGGCTGGGAGGCACCCCGTGCCGCAAGAGCTACGAGGACTGTGCCAGCGGCATCATGGAGGACTCGGCCATCAAGTGCGAGTACATGCTGAACGCCATCCCCAAGCGCCTGTGCCTCGTGTGCGGGGACATTGCCTCTGGCTACCACTATGGCGTGGCCTCCTGCGAGGCTTGCAAGGCCTTCTTCAAGAGGACCATCCAAGGTGTGTGGTGGGCCTGGCTGGGCCTGGGCGCGTGGGGTTGGGGGTCGGGGGTGGCGGCCCTGCCTGCGGGTCCGGCAGAAACCCTGGGAATTCTCAGAGGCTGGCGATTCCCGGCGCCGTTGGAGCAGTACTTCCGAGGGGCGCCTTTTCCCTTGCTGGGGGCGTCTCATTCTGGTGCGGGACAGCTGCAAGAAGGCTGTTGGAAGGGCGTGCGTTCCCCACTCTCTCAGTCCCGCATGCAGAGCCCCAGCAAACCCAAAGAAAATCCACAGAATGCCAAAGCCTGGGTGCTTCTCACTGATACGGGGTACACTGTCAAATGTGTGTCCCTCAACGAGTTTATTTTGTGGGGGGAATAACATAATTTGCCCACAGTTCCAGATCTAGCAGATATATAAAGGGCCCCTCACTTTGTTTTTGTCTTTTTTACTTGTACAAGTACAATGCCAGACTTGGTGAATCACGCCTGTAATCCCAGCACTTTGGGAGGCCAAGGCCAGAAGATGGCTTCAGGCTGGGAGTTGTAACCAGCCTGGGCAACACAGTAAAACCCCATCACTAAATTTCTAAAAAAATTAATACATGGTGGCACACACCTCTAGTCCCAGCTACTTGGGAGGCTGAGAGGGAGGATCATTTGAACCCAGGAGTCTGAGGCTGCAGTGGCCTGTGATGGCACCACTGCCCTCCCGGCTGGAATACAGAGCAAGACCCTGTCTCAAAAACAAAAAAGCAAATAACATGTGAGTATTTTCTCATTGTAGAAGACTCAGGCCTGTTGGAATTGGAACAGGAACTCACCCTGTCTGGATCTCAGTTTGGCCTCTCTTTTAAGCCGTTCTTTCCTTCTTTCTTCCCTCCCTTCCTTCCTTCCTTCCTTCCTTCCTTCCTTCCTTCCTTCCTTCCTTCCTTCCTTCTTCCTTCATTCCCTCCTTCCTTCCTTTCTTCCTTTCTCTTTCTTCTTTCTTTCTTCCCTCCCTCCCTTTTCTTCCTCTATTCTTTCTTTCTTTCTCTTTCTTTCTTTCTTTCTTTCTTTCTTTCTTTCTTTCTTTCTTTCTTTCTTTCTTTCTTTCTTTCTATGTCTTGCCTCCCTTCCCTCCTTCCTTCCTTCTTTTCTTTCTCTCTTTCTTACTCTTTGTTCCCTTTCTCTCTTCTCCTTCCTTCCTTCCTTGAGATGAGAGGCTTGGGCGGGGCACAGTGGCTCACACCTGTAATCCCAGCACTTTGGGAGGCCAAGGTGGGCCTTGAGGTCAAAGTTCTAGACCTGCCTGGCTAACATGGTGAAACCCTGAAAATACAAAAAGAAAAAAAAATCAGCTGGGCATGGTGGCACTCACCTGTAATCCCAGCTACTAGGGAGGCTGAGTCAGGAGAATCCTGAACCCAGGAGGTGGAGGTTGCAGTGAGCCAAGATCAGGCCACTGCACTCCAGCCTGGACGACAGAGTGAGACTCTATCTCAAAAAGAGAGCTGAGGGTCTTGCTATGCTGCCCAGGCTGAGTGCAGGTGGCTATTCACAGGCACGATTATTGAACACTGCAGCCTTGAACTCTGGGCTCAAGCCATCCTACCACCTCAGCCTCTCAAGCAGCTACAACTACTATTGAGAGGTAGTTCTCTCAACAGTAGAGAACTGCCACCACGCCCATAAGCTTTTTTTTCCATGCATTTACATATCAGCTGAGTCACATTCCAATGGCCACGGGGGTGGCAGCCTCTTTCTGTGGGTACTAGAGTGAATCACTCTGACAAAGGAGTGCAAGAACCCTGGTGGGTCGCTCTGTAAAGTCACCCCGAGGTAAACTGGGGAGAATGATGAGCCTGCCCCCACAGGGTTGTTATCAAATTCATGGCAGAGAGAGACCGCTGGGACCACTGGTGGGCACCACCACATTCAGTTCATTTTTGAATTTTAGTAGAGATGGGGTCTCACCATGTTGCTTAGGCTGGTCTCAAACACCTGGGCTCAAATGATCCACCCACTTTGGCTTCCCAAATCCTGAGATTACAGGCGTGAGCCACTGTGGCTGGCCAACAGCTGTGATTCTTAATTGCAGCAGGTACTGGGCAGAGCACTTTCATTCAAGTTAGTCAAGATCAAGTGAGTTCTGTTGAGCATCTACTAAACACCAGGCCGGGCTGTAGGTGCTGGTGATAGGATAGGCAGAAACCTGCTCATGCAGGTCACTGTGATGAGCTGGTGCCATCAGACTGGAGAAAACCCAGGAACCACCCAGCCTGCTTCTGCATCTGATCCCTCTCCAGTGCCCTGCCTGGATGTCCCTGGAAGAGGAAGGCCGAGCTTCCCTGGGATGATTCTGTTAATTCAACCATTATTTGTGTGTTGACATTTCTTCAGATGGCAATCTGTGAAGCCAGTTGAGGACCTTAGGATTGGACGTTTCCTGTTCCACACGTTAGTTGAGGTGGTGTAGTGCACTGGCTAACCACCAGGGCTCCTGGTCACACGGTTCCATCGTTCCTTATAGCTGCACCTTGGGCATGCTGCCTCACTTTCTCTCTGTGCTTCAGTTACTTCATCTAAAAAGTGAGATATCAGCTGGGCATGGTGGCTCACACCTGTAATCCCAGCATTTTGGGAATCTGAGGCAGGTGGATCACTTGAGGCCAAGACTTCGAGACCAGCCTGGCCAACATGGTGAAACCCCATCTCTACTAAAAATAGAAGAATTAGCCAGGCATGGTGGCAGGTGCCTGGAATCCCAGCTGCTTGAGAGGCAGCAGGAGAATCACTTGAACCGAGGATGCAAAGGTTGCAGTGAGCCGAGATTGCACCACTGCACTCCAGCTTGGGCAATAGAGCAAGATCCTGTCTCAAAAAAAAAAAAAAGAAAAAGCTTACATGAGTTAATATATATAAAGCACTTAGAATATTGCCTGGCACCTAGTAAGTGCCAAACAAATGTTTGTGGTTATTATTTTCACTTTAACATCATCTTTTTTTTTTTTTTAAGATGGGGTTTTACCATTTGGCCAGGGTGGTCTTGAACTCCTGACCTCAGGTGATCTACCCACCTTGGCCTCCCAAAGTGCTGGGATTACAGGCGTGAGCCACTGCACCCCGCAACATCATCATTTAAGACATATTATTATGAAAACAACACACATTTATCTTACAGAACAAGCTTTTGTAATCTACCTATATTTAAATAAAACAATCATTGTTTTGATCTAACAGGATTCAGATTATTTTAGCTATGTTAGTTATAAATTTCTTTTTTCTATTTTTTTTTTTTTTTTTTCTGAGATGGAGACTTGCTCTGTCACCCAGGCTGGAGTGCAGTGGCACAGTCTCACTGCAACCTCTGCCTCCTTGGTTTAAGCAATTCTCTTGCCTCAGCCTCTTGAGTAGCTGAAATTATAGGCACCTACCACAATGCCCAGCTAATTTTTTGTATTTTCAGTAGAGACATGGTTTCAACATGTTGGCTAGGCTGGTCTCAAACCCCTGACCTCAAGTGATCCACCTCGGCCTCCCAAACTGCTAGGATTACAGGCATGAGCCACTGTGCCCAGTTATAAATGAACTTATTTCTTAAATGAACGGTTTAAAAAAAATGGTAAAAATTCTAGCAGTGCAAAAGAGTAGAGCAAGCTTTCCTGAAACCCCAGACCTCAGTTTTTTTTAACTATCCTAGAAGGAGCCCTTTACCATCTTTGTAAGTAAATATTTATTAAGCATCTTCTGTATCAGGCCCTGTGCTGGCCTCCAGGACATGAGAATGAAATCACCCTGGTCTCTGCCCACTTTCTACTCCCTGAGTCTGAGTTTAGGGGAAGGCCTTGGTATCTCTGTATTTGAAAAGCATTGCATGGTGATGCTGTCTCTTGCCTCAGCCAAGAGTGAGAACCTCCAGTCTGATGATTTTTACACAAATCACTGGATATTTGACAAACATAAAATGTTGAAGTCAATTGACATTACCAAAATAACAACATTTTTCTTTCTAAATTGTAAGGTGGTCTTGGTGAGCTTGTCATTTTTTTATTTTTTATTTTTTGAGACAGGGTCTCACTCTGTCGCCCAGGCTGGAGTGCAGTGGTGTGATCTTAGCTACCTGCAACCTCTGTCTCCCAGGTTCAAGCGATTCTCCTGCCTCAGCCTCCTGAGTAGCTGGGATTACAGGCATGTGACACCACGCCAGGCTAATTTTTGTATTTTTTTTTTTTTTACTAGAGATGGGGTTTCACCATGTTGGTCAGGCTGGTCTCAAACTCCTGACCTTGTGATCCACCCATCTTGGCCTTTCAAGGTGCTGGGATTACAGGTGTGAACTACCATGCCTGGCCTGAGGTGGCCATTATTTCAGACTCTCTGAGTCAGTGTTTGAAAAATTGCTTGTTAGAAGACAGTCACATTTTCTTCTCACCACATTGTTCTTAGATGGGCTGGAGAGTTCTGGATCACATTTTTGGAAAGCAGAGGCCAATGTGTGGCCATCAGAAATCCTACTGCATGCTTGACAGAGGCCCTGGTGGCTGCGAATGTTCTCAGCAAGTCAGAGTCCACTTGTAAATAGTCTTAATCACTTGCTACTGTGAATAGGATAATGATCTCTTCGTAGAAGTCAAAAGACAAACAGCAGCATTTGTGTAGTTGGGACTGAACTGCTGCGGCCTCTTCCCTTTCTCACAAGGAGAATTTCAAGTTCACAACCAGAAAGAGGTTTATATTCAGAACAGGGAAAAGTAAACTCTTAAGGCTGACAGATTGCTCTGTTATTTTATTAACTCTTTGGTTTCATTCTAAGATTTAAGTTATGTTGTTTTTTCTTGAAATGGAGTCTCACTTTGTTGCCTAGCCTGGAGTGCAGTGGCGCGATCTCAACTCTCTGCAACCTCCAACTCCCAGCTCAGCCTCCCAAGAAGCTGGGATTACAAGCATGTACCACCATACCCGGCTAATTTTTCTACTTTTAGTAGAGATGGGGTTTCGTCATATTGGCCAGGCTGGTCTCCAACTCCTGATCTCAAGTGAT